TGCACCATGCCGGGCGACATCACGGTCCTTGATTTTAATCTATTCATAAAGGGCTTTTGAACCGCTCTTAGTCTGACCCGTCACCCAGGACCTGTTTGCCTTGGGAGACCCTACCAGGGACATATAGCCCCCGACAACATAGCTCCTAGGATCACTTGGGTACTCAAACCCCTCCACCACAATAAGGTGGCGGTGCAAGGAGGGGTAATAATAATTAGAAACAGCAAAAAGAAAAGCATGAAAACCTCTGCATTTAAGAAAACGTAATTGTGGCACAGTAAAACCTTGGATTGTGAGTATAATTCATTCCGGCAATGTGCTCGTAATCCACAGCAGTCTATCAGCAGTATATCAAAGCGAATTTCCCCATATGAAATAATGGACACTCAGATGATTCGTTCCACACCCACTTATCCAAATAAAAATGATTATAGTAATACAAAATACAGTATAAAGTAAAAATAAAACTAATTAACCTGCACTTTACCTTTGAAAAGAATCGTACCTGGGTGAGGGGCCACTGTTGCGGTACAGATATTGATTATACAAGTGAAGCGTGAGAAGCATCAGCTCAGTTGTGACGTACGTCATGTGACGCACAGCAGACGTACGTACTACTCGTATTGTGAGACCTCACTCGTATATTGAATCAAAATTTTTTGCTCGTCTTGTAAACCACTCGCAAACTGGGTTACTCGCAATCCAAGGTTCCACTGTATTTATCTTTGAAAATAACTTTGTGCTGTTGGGACTTAATTTTCTGTAGAGACTGACAGCCTAATCATTTCATCTCCTGCCTCTTTTAGACAGAGGGTACATCCCAAGTCTGTTTTATGCACTGTTTCCTACTCTTGTACCTTTTCCTTGTGTCTTAGTATGTAAGATGTGAGGGAATCATGCAAGGAAAAAATGTGGACTGGAATGGAATGACCTCTGAATTGAATGAGGATGGAGGGGTGAAAAAAGATCATATAAAAGACCTGAGATGAACCTAGAGATTCCGCTATACTGCCGTTAAACTGGACGGTATAAAAGGAGCTTCCAACACTCCTAATCTGATCGACCCAGTGTTGTGCCTGATAATATCACGTCTATCAAAACATTTGTCTAGGTTTTTTGTTGACAAAATTAGATGTAATGAAAATATGACAGTCTGATAGAATTCTTTTGTGTAGACACAAACTCACATTGTGGATCCTGAAGAGACAGAGTGCCACCACATGAGCACACCATTTGGCCCCAGCGCCACAGGTGCAGCTGCAGGAAGTGATGCGACAGCGGTCAAACATGACCGCCACATTGTAAGCTGCTTTGGACTGACCAGCCTGATTGGACATCACTGTTGCACTTAGATGGAAGCCTGGTAAAACAAGATATTCATGGAAAGACAAACAAAGAATTAAGTACATGCATCATTGTAAGATTAATTCTAGCTGATTGGTAAGCCACAATGAGAAAACTATATTGTACACTGTTAACATTTACAACAAGAATAAAAGCTTTTTCTATGGGCCTAATGTATGGCAAGAATGACAACTAAACCCACCAATCTGCAGGGGGTCTTTGACAGCTCTGATCCTGTAAAGCTGCTCTCCACGTTGAAATTCATCTGGACTCCCATTAGCCAGGCAAGAATATAACCTGCAGCAGGAGGACAGACAGAGGAGCAGAAGAACCATAGACAGAAAAAGACAGGTGAAAGATGTAGAGGGAAGATTCAGAGAACAAAATTAGTAAGTCAGTAATAAAACTGAGTACATCTACACTGGTCAGTCCTACTTATTGTATATTTTCTTAACATCTCATCCTTTTCAGGGTTGTGTTGGTTTGAAGCCTATCAAAGCACATACTAGGAGAGAGGTAAGGTATCACACATAACATGTTGGGAATAAAGCACCGGGTTTAACTGTCAAGGTCAGTATTCATTTAAGAACAAGTTTCTTGAAGACTTAAGGTGATGCTAGGAATATTGAGATGCTTTGTTCTCCATCTACTTGTTTTGTTGATGCTATAAGGTGCAGTTTGCTCCCATCAAAACTGGCCTAAATGTGGAAATTTCTTATGTCCCTCAGGACAGCCTCCTACCTAGAAATACCACCTGTTTCTTTCTGAAATAACCTATTTTTAAGAATTTCAAAACTGGAACAGCTGTGGACTACAATACAACTATATTATTAACTATAACCGAGTCAACCTGCCTAGATTTGTGTGAGTGTGTGGGATGAATTTGAGAAAAATAATGGTCACACATTCAATGCAAAGTTAGGGCTGGATTCTGATGGCCACTTCTACTTTGGATCTGGCTCCCATTTGGCAAAAGACTCAAATTTGCGAAGCTCAGATGAACTCTCTGAACTCTTTTTAAATCAGAAAAGAACAGCCCTTGATGTCAGGGGACTTCTATTTTTAGCTGCTTCTGAGTGTCACTTTAAAATTAATGTCAAGTAACACCGCAACAGGTCAAATGAAATTTTAGTCTGTTGTCTGTTTAAGGTGCCCTCTGCAGCTGGTGTTTGCACACATGTATCATGTAAGATCATCTGTTACTGAAAATGAACTATGAAACAACACTGTAGGGCTGACTGTGTGTTCAACAAATAGAGTAATGAGTTATGCCAAGTGGTCACTTTATACATTTCATGAGCCAGAATTTCTCACCTAAACTTTCATTAATAATGTAACAATAACTACAGATGATCAACCTGAAGGTCAGGCAGGGCACAACTGTTGTTTTATTGTGTTGGACATACAGTATATTGGAGCCTTGTATGGTAGGGATGGGATAATATATCGAAATTCAATATATCATATTACAGAAATGTCACAATATGTATCATTTTGTCTAGAGATATATATGGTGTGGTCTCTATACACCAGCAACTTAATATTTTTTTTAAAAATAAGATAGCGTAACAGAACATAAGTCAATATATCTGGCTGTTCATTTCAGAATCAAAGCAGTGCTAAACATGGGGAAAAAGAAAGAGTATTCCACTGTTAGTCATACATTTTTGTACAATTTTTAATTGTCCATCCATCCATCCATCCATTTTCTTCCGCTTATCCGGGACCGGGTCGCGGGGGCAGCAGTCTAAGCAAAGATGCCCAGACTTCCCTCTCTCCAGACACTTCCTCCAGCTCCTCCAGGGGAATGCCGGGGCGTTCCCAGGCCAGCCGAGAGACATAGTCCCCCCAGCATGTCCTGGGGCTTCCCCCGGGGCTCCTCCCCG